AGTATTTTTTCGCGGAATGCTCACACTCGGACTTTCCGAAAACCTATAGGTAGAAATAAGGTTGAAAAATTCTTGAAATTAAATTACACCAGAGATGTAGATAACAGAGATAGGCAGCTCCTATATACTCCATTTAAATATCACTCATGCCTGACTAAAAAGTGAAAAAATAGACATTTTGTAGCAAGTAAAACTTAATGGATGTACATTTGATCCTTTTTTTATTATACACCATTTGAAAGTTAAATCTTTTATCTATTGCTGCATGTAAAATATTGGTAACTTCCCATCCCTTTCACTTCAAAGAACATAGCAGAGAATATCCACTGAGCCAGGTTTTTCGTCATATGAATAGTTTTTTTTAACAAAAATTGGTAAGTAGTTTTCTATAAAAATTGATGTATCATTTATTTATATGGAAACTACTGTAAATATTTTTACCTGCAGCCATAGAAAATGGCACCAGCTTTATTTGACTGATTTTGATACCTGGTTTATTAGTTTTCCTTGATATAGATTATGTTTAGCAACCACGTGTGATATCTTAACTGGATAGAAAGTGTCATCTTTGAATTGATTACACGTACTAGAGCATGATGTGTGACATTTTTCTTGATGAATATAGAATAATTTATTGTACTGAATATTTATTTACCTTTTAAAATCACCAACGTGAAACAACATGTTTAATAGTTTTGTAAAATACCATTGGTTTAACATATTTAAATATCAGTGTGTCCTGTAACGATGCAACTACGATGCAACTAGAAAAATCATATTTGCATGCTAAGTGTGAACTTAATAATTGCTTAGATAACGAATAACCCGCTTATATAGATACTTCGTGTGGATTCCATACTGTTTTGATAACACTAAATGATGGTACAGTGATTGCCTGTCTACAAAACATGATTATTCCACACAAGTTTCCGTCAGCAATTTACGTCAAATACAGCTCACGCATGGGTAAATAGTGTTTTCGACTAGATTTATCACACATTTGTCACGAAGCCTACTGTTTCGTTTGCACATATATTTTAATAAGTAATAAGGGGTCGTTCTTTTCAATCATGATTGTTTGCCTAATTAGTCAGGTCTAATCATACTGCACGTTTGTAACGATTACCGTTATATCTATATTAACTATATACATGGCTGCTGTCAATTTTTGAAATTAATTCATCCTACTACTGTTAAACATGGCTGCTGTCAATTTATGAAATTAATTCATTTCTCTCCTATTAAAGAAGTGTTCAGCATTATAAATTCGTTATTAAAATCTTTACAGGCTATATGACTTAATATAAACGATAATTTGCAATATAATTCATTCGAGCTGTTATACATACAACCGTTTATATAGAACCAACATGTCCTAATTTCTTTGTAACTTATAATTTTATGATATGTATTGAAAACTGCGTTGTTTTTTCAACATATGTTTATCTTTAGCATTATATTTAGTAAATTTTGCCCTACAGCATCATCTGTTACATAAATATAAATAGTATCAGATCATGTTTCTCACACTTTCCACCAACATGCATATATAATTTTGTCTTTGTACTAAATATTATTCATTCTATTACACACATTCCAATAAAGACAAAGTCACTTTAATTTCTGTTTTGATAATCATAGTACCTAAGAAACACACTTTTTAAAACAATGCCACCACGTTTAGTATTTGTTAAGTTTAAACTTATTTTCTTTAACATATACATATAAAATAATATAAAGATGAAACTTATTATACCAAAGCAATGGGTTGGGCATCGAATTATTGAGGAGTAAGCCCTTCCCAGTTTTACCATTTTTATTATTGGAGTGACACTGTTGTAACATTAATACGCCTTAATCTTTTTTCAAGACATGAAAGCATAACTTCTGTGCTGTTCACAGAAATTGTGAAAGATAATTGATAATTTTTGGTCTTAATATCAAATTTACTTAGTAATAGTTTTGAAACTAGAACAACTAAAAATAAGGATATTAATATTTTTTTCAGTACAAAAGACTTACCGATATTATATACTTTAATAGGCTATGTAAATTATGATCAAACATAAAAACACTATATATAACACTACTGCATTCTTTATGAAAGGTGAATATCACTTTTCCCAAAAAGAATATTATGACAATTGTCCTTTAAATGATCGTACAAATGCCAAATTCACAGTACCTTCCGTATTTCTATTTATTTTCATGTTTGCTATTCATTATTGAGACTGGTAGAGTCTTTTTAAGAACACATAAAATAATAGTATAGATTAGAATTTGATAATATAGGAAAATATATGGTGGTTTTCAAACAAATTAATGGTGCGATCAATGTTGAACCTTAAATGAGTATGCAAGTAATGGAATAATGGGTGTTTATTAAATAATACAGAGTTTTCAAAGACAGCTGTTGTCAAAATACATTTTTGTTTTTAATTTGCTAGTTATTTTGCTTGGAATTGTATTGAAGGTGTAAATGCTTTAGAAAGTTAAACAATTGCTGACAATATGGAAACTTTTAAGTAAATTATCAACCTTTTAAAAATCCATAATTGGCGCGAGGAAGGACTACCAGATAACAAATGTCTAAGTATTTTATCATGGTCATATCATAAAAAGGTTATTGTATGAAAAATTCGGTCAACATGCATATGCAAAATTATCGAGGTCTTTACCTTACACCATCACCATAATATAATTGTATATAAAAACGTGACAACCTTTTCCATTTTAGCATTATATACGAATCGATTTGATGGGAGTGGTGGCCTAGTGGTTAAGGTGTCTGCCCCTCAACCCAGAGATCATAGGTTCGAGCCCTTCGACCATGTTTCTTTACATGACACCAGTACTGGTTGGTTAAAGAAAGCGGACTCGAAAGTGATTAATATAAGTTGCAACAACTTATTTCGCAATCGAGCTGAAATGAATATGTTTAAACCATATACGAATCTGTAATATCACCATTTTTAACCACGCCTCGTTGGAAGACATACCTTTTCTCCGATAAACATGGTCGTCTCATATCTTTAGAGAAACATACTTTTAATAATAACGATAAATGTCAATTATTTGTTTGTTTGTTATTTTTAAGGGTATGACGTAAGCCTTTACATTTCACTTAAAACTGCAGTAATTAAATAAAATGATAACAAAGATTAACATGGCGACGTTCACAGAACTCAACCGAGCCACACTGACATGGCACCAAAAAGGGAACTGCACCAAAAATAGAGAGTAAAAAGCCGTAAAACATTAGCAGAGCGACGTGTATATAAGAAAAAGACACTTTACAACATCGATATGTAAAATAATGGTAGCTATTCTTGCAATGTTGAATATCAATATGCCGCGTGTCATCAATTGTTTTTTTGAAAGCTATTTCATAATGACGCTGCATTGAAGTATACATCTGAATTAGTATGCTCCTTATATCATTATTACTGTAAAATGATATTATTAAATATACGCCTTTGACATATATATATAATTATTTACAATGTTATTCAATGACATGTTGCTTTTTAATATGGAGAGTAGTTGATATTGATACATATCTTCATTTTCAAATTCCTATTGCTCATTTGCCATTTATGTTCGTAACAAAACCATAAAAAGTATCAGTTACGAGCTGAAGCAAACCTTACAAACTAACAACTCCTCCACTATATATGGTAACAATATATTCGTCGTCAGCCTCTAACATGCTTTCTCCTTTTCAAGATCACTTTTGCTATTCATCTCACATTTATCATTCGTAAAACTCAGAAAACATTTCATTGAACTCTGCCAAGAAAATGTTGTTATTAAATGTTACTTCTGAAATATTCATAAAATATTTCTAATTTCAGTTCAGTTTTGACTTAAGAATGTGCGATTACGTTTGTTTCGATTATATTTTGTTTTCTTTACATGATGTTTTTGTTGTAGGTCCCACCAATATCAACAACGCCTCTTATATCACCAGACAATGACGTCATACTTATGCATCATAACGCTAAAGCGCTCCATAAATAAAAGAGTCGGTAGCCATGCTATTTGATAGTAACTTTTTACAGTAAGTGGATTTTTATAGTGGTTTTTGTTTTTAAAAATTTGATGACTTTATTTTTTACTTGGCATTTAATTCACCTGTGTGTTACAACTTAGTTCTGTGATTCCTTGAATACAAAGTAAGTACTGTAAATGAAAACGTTTTCATAGGAAAATTCCTTTCTGTAAATTCGTACTTTTTCTATAATTCGGCAATTTAGTTTTTCAATACAATCTATGGAATGTGATAATTAATCTTATGTAGATTTATTTTGAAATTTATAACAATTTTACTTAACATGTCTAATTTGAATAAAGGAAAGTACAAATAATGCATCGGAAGCCGAATTCCCCTCTTACATTGAAGGTAAGGCGGTCCTTACAATAGAAAATGATGCCAGTGTTTAATCATACGGTGTGTACCTATAGCGTGTAGAGTTTACTTTTCTGTTTACATACATGTTTATTTTATAATTTACATAGAGACTTGTAGAAATTGTTCATTTTTTGAAATATCAAATTTAAGCATAACATATATTTAAGCTTCACATAGTGTCATTCAAAACAGGTCCTAGATAATAAGAAATAAAAAATCTTTTAAAAGACAATTAAAAAAGTGTTTTCACAACAGTGTTCGTTAAGTTTGTTTTTCAGTAATATATTCTTTTCATTCATAAATTTATAAACATGGATTTCATTTAAGGTCAGGTAAATAATTATCATAATTAATTTAATTTGTGCGTAGGAACATGAGTTCATTTATATTTTGTTTTATTTTTAAAATATTATTCACACATTAGGTAAATTGGGAAACTGATTTCACCTAACAATAACTTTGGTTTTCCAAATATTGATTAAATTCTAATCAGTAGTCTGATATGAACTGGATTTATCGGTATTAAAATACATTATATAAAATGCATTCCTTATGGGTCCAATAAAGTTGCGTAATATCCTGGGTTTACCAAATGAATGTTTTTATTTAGAGTTTAAATTTTTTCGAAAATCAACGGTTTTTCCAACGGATTCTCCAATCGTTAGGTTTTAATACAAGACATTTTGCCACCGTCGCCAATGAGCTTCATTCCATTGAAGATAGTGAATAAATGATATAAACATACGATAATAATCGCTCAGTTAATTTCAGAATATATCAAAGTAAGTATTCTCTTTTTTAATTAATAAAAATAATTTTTTCATTCATTTTCATACTATTTTCTTTATAAATACATTATTGTTTAAATGTAACATTGAATGTTATTTTTAGACAGCTTTACCAGTATGAGTATTTTTAAAGAGCAAATTCAATACATTTGTTGAATTGTGTTAAAAGAACAAACTTAAAAGTATCTTGTTTTACCAAATGATGTAAATCAACTACATGTTAGTGCTTTTCTCTTATATCAAGTCATTCTAAAAAAATCAAAAATTATAATATTTTTGCAACATTGTTTTTTTAATTTAATAATGATAATTTTATTCATAAAATGTTACATATCCGTAGTGAAATGGGAAAACCATTGGTCAATGGCGTCATAAAACAGTCTCTGTTAAACAATTCTTAGTTGAAAGTACATATTTATTATTTTGTCAATTGTAAGAAACGTATTTAACATAGGATTAATTACTTAGATTTTTCTTCTCGTATTTTTAGTATTTTGTGTTGCGAATCTCTGGATTTATTTTACCAACAAAACGTTCTCATTGATGAAACTTCCATTTTTTGTTCATTAAACTTTAAATGTTTATGTAATTATTTAAAAAAAAGATATAAAAGATAAACCATTTACATCTAAAGTTTAAACGAACTGTAAGGAAACTATTCAGTACAAAATAAATTGTTCTATTTGTATGTAGAGTTTAAATTTGGCTTCAAATATCCAAACTCGCCATAGTTTGCATTCAAATCAAGATTAAACGTTTACAAATATTCTGTTGATTTTATACAAGCCATTATCCTTTTATTTCTGTTTGCAATATTTCAAGCATTATTCTTTTGATTAAACTGTCAATATTGCATACATATGATTTATACAAAATTTATAAAGCCAAAACAAGATAGAAGGACAACTAAATAAAAAAATATGTTCTGCTTTGAAGAGACATCAGTAGATAGATAAATAGATATATTCATTTGGACAAAAGGTAAACATGTTACATGATAAACAAACACAATATAGATTGAAACAATTACAAATAAATAAATAAATGAATAAATACTATATTATGTAAACCATGGCATGTTCCCAAAACCAAGGATAACGCAAAAAAGAGCAAGCTCTTATTTCCATTGTGATCCTTGGCATTTGGTGGCATGACAAAGAGAGGTATTTCACAAAAGAAAAAAATATCACCCTAATAAAGGATATCATTTATAATTATCACAATTTAAAATATACAGTAATGTTATTCATTAAAAAGTCAGTATCACATTAAGAAATAATCACGTGCATATTAAGAAAAGATTACATTAAAAAATTGTCACAATTTACAGGATTATTGCGATTTATTATCAAAGGGACCATGGTGTACTAAAGGTTACTAAAATATGAACATACAGTTATGAGTATGTAAGGAAAGAACATGCCATAGATTACACTATTCAAAAAAGAGAAAGTTTTTATAGTCTTAATAAGAAAATTAAAACAAATTTCAAAAAATGAAAAAGAAAATCTGAGCCGAAAAATAATACAATAAAAAAATGAAAACATGTAAAAATTTCTGGCAAGAAATTTTAAGAAAAACACTTACATGCTACTTAAAAAGTGACGTTTGGTGGCTACCTTAAATCGATGAATTTTGTTAATTTCAGTCATACAAATTGGAAGACTCTTTTAGAGTTTAGCACCAATAAAACTAAAAGACTTTGACCCAGAACCTTTAAACTTAGGAAGACAATACCCTCCTTTCTTTTACTCAGTATGGTGCAATAAGAATGCATAGATTTCTGAGAAACAAAACAATCACTAAAGTACTCTGGGGCCATTTGGTTTTTAACCTTAAGAACATGACATAACATAATTTGTTCAACTCTCTTACAGTATCGTATCAATATGCTTTCAATTTGATTTCTTTTTTTTACAAAATCTTGGATTTTTTTAGTTACAAGAGATTTCAATGCCATTGTTATGCAAGCATTGTAATCATGTTATATGAATCGAAAACTAAGAAATAACATATCGAAATTAACCAGTTTCACTTCGGTCGAAAAATTTAAGATACTCCTTGTATACAATTATTACATGCAAACTTCGTTCGCTCAAACAAGTAAAATTTTGTTGTTTCCATAATCCTATGGTCGATTATCGAAAGACAAAGTATAAAATAGCATAACATAAAATGTCTCTGATTTTGTACACAAACGGATTTACGTTCATGTACGAAATATAATATTTTTGGCCATTTTAGGTACGGTTTTAATTACGTTTAAAAGTATATATCATTTTAAAGTAAAATTTTAACTCATATTTCTCTCATGCAGTTTTTCCTTTAAAAAATTATTTTTCAAGATGCAAACACACATTTTGTAAACTTCAGTAAAAATATATAGATTCGTACATTTTAATACGTTACTTGATTAATTCATATCAGTATCTATGAGTTTTTTTTTTATGAAGACTGAATCAATATTTTTTTATTTCAGATTCATCAAAAATGGCAAGTACGTGCTGCTCAATAATTCTATGGTTGCTTGGAGTTGGTTTCTTTATTGCAAGTGTTGTTTTTGACTGGGGAAACTTTTATGAATTGCGCAAAAATGACGAGGAAATTAAATCAACAGGGATAGAATCTTGTGACTTTGCCCTTGATGAATATCACTGGATTTTTATGGCATTTGTGATATGCAAAATGATTTCCGGTATTTTTGAGTATGTATTTGGTGGACTTTCGCTGTGTGAAGAAAATGAAGACAGTAATGGATACGATACCGCTTCTTTGGTTTGCAACATCTTTACTACATTCTTCCAAGCTCTAGATTTGCTTCTTCTTGTTCTGTTTTCATACCATTGCCTAAGCGATGACGAAATACACCATGTTCGAGCGTTTATCAGTGACGAAACAGATGACTTTGTGGCGGGAGTTTCAGGATCAGCTGGTTTGATCTTCAATCTGGTTATAAAAAAGAATACAGTTACTATATTCAAGGCGTTTATTGATATCATCTCTGTATGTTGTGGAAAAGAAAAGCGGTACGGAGAATCTTATGGTATACAAGATCCGAGAACACACTATAAAGTATTAACATGGATATCTGTGCTCTTAATATTTGTTTGCATAGCGCTAGTAATAGCACTATCTATGAAACTGTAAATAAATATAGCTAAGTGTCACCACACATATATTGTCATCTTTGCAGTATCAGTCTATATGTTTCCTGTATTTAAATGTACTTGACATTACACAAACATTTTTGATATAATGTAATAAGTCTGGCTATTAAAACCTGTTATTATTTTGTAAAATTTCGGCAAATACAACAATAAATGTTTCTCTGCCTAAAAAAAGTACGTTTAGTAAAATATGTGTACCGTTATCAACATTTACAAAAACAATATTAAAGTCAGATATACACTAAAGTATTGATGTGTTTAACTTGAGTTTTATAAAACCAAGATCTATTTTGTTAACATGAACTTTACCTGTGACAACTTTGAAAGTACTGAATTTTAATATTGTATTCAATCAAATATAATTTGATCACGTGTTCCTAAGCGTTTCGATTTTTCGGCTTAATGAAAAACAAAAAAAAACATTATATTAGTCAATATTATGACATTGTATTATTTAAATCGCTTACATGAATATATTAAATACCGGTAGTATTTGATTACAATCTATGTAAACCGGTGCTTTTTACAAGTTATAAATTATATTTCCGAAACGTTTAAATAAGATTTCCATTGCATATCGATGATAATTAATATAGGAATGTTTTATTAACGGCTGTAATATATTGATGTAAAATAAAGGATCGATTGTTAAAAGAAAATAAATTCACAAAATGACTTTGGAGATTTCCAGAACAACTTTTTGATATATGTCGAAATAATTCTTTAGTTAAAACATAATTTATTTAGAATATTTGTACATGTGTAAATAACAACATAACAGTTATTAATAATTAATAATAATAATTTTTTATCTAATTAGAAATTTCTGCTGTTGTGAATTTTTGAATTTTTGCATTATTTCTATTTCAAAATAAATAAAAAATATACAAACAAGCTTACTTTCTCTTTTATAAACTGTGTGGAAGTGATTGATAAAGATGTGACAAAAGTATGTCCATTTTAAGACAATCTGGTTGATTATTAAATGGCGACAATTTGTCTTCTGTCGGAGATGTAACATTTGTTATCTTTATAGGTGACTTGTAAACAATCACGCCACCTTTACAAAACCTAAATGGCTTTCACTTTTGGTAACGCATATATATATTTTCTTTGTCAATAAAACGTCCAATTTATGGAAAAAGACTTGTATACACCAATCATACAATAACGAAATTTGCGCATAAACGTTTAAGGACAAATTGTCGGTAATGAGAGAAAACAACGAAATAATATATGTTGCATTCCTTTTACCTTTATGTTACAAAATAACCGCATGTATATGATGATTTGCCTTTCCTTTTGATCTTCAAAGTAATATGCAACATAGTGTAGGAAATGAACTTGTAAATCATGCATATTTTGGGGGTCAACTAGTCTATGTCTAGGAACAATAAGTTTTATATACCAAAATGTCCTTTAGAAATGAATAAGGCTAGTTCTGCATAAGTTTCACTGTAATTGTAATTATATTTTTTTTTTAAATCACACAGTTAAAATATAAGGTAGTCGAACTATATTTGAATACAGATGAAAATATAAAAAAAACGTAACAATGTCGTCAGAAATACACTTCGTTGTCAGTAAACTCTACTTGATTACGAGAAAAACATGAAATGAATGGAATTCACGGAATATAATATGATTAAGAATTTAGTATAATCTTGAGATGTGTGCATACGGCTGTGACCACAGACTCATAAGCCCAGTTGGTGTTTAGGCAACCTATTTAGTTATCAAATTATATAGTTCAATTGTTTCAAAAAGTTTGACTACAAACTCATTTCAGCGAGTAAGTCTGAGGTATTTCATATTTTATATTACTTCCTATTATACCGATCGATATCATAATGATTTATGTATCATTGCTATATAAACATATAGTTAAGTAACCTATTCATTAACTAATAAAATTTGTCAATAGTCAAATACATTTGTATTACGTTTTGATTTAGAAAAGCTTATGTTATGAAAACACTCAAAACATTTTTCACTGATTTTCTCCAGATCTCATAACTAATCTTTATTATTTCCTCGTTTTAAATCGTCCATGAATTTTAAAAAAATGTGCACCTAAGACTAAGTCTATACTTCATGAACTTTTGACTTGTGTATTTATTTTCGTAATTGCATATCTGGATGTTTTTGGGTGGGTTTAACGTTGCACCATCATTACAAAAATCATATTGCGATTTCCCACCTTTATAGGTGGAGAAAGATCTCGGGTGATTCTTTGTTCATGTTTTCAGGCACGAACCGGCATCTTAGTAGAGCCACCAACGTTCTATAAGCTAGCTTGCTAACACATGAAAGAATTCTTGACAGGATTCAAACCCACTGCGGTGAGAGACAAGTTGTTTGGTTTAAACATATTTTTATTCATGTTAATAATTTACAATTTAAGCAGAAAGGAAAATTGATATTTGGCTGCAATAGCACATGGTAGTTATCACTTTTTAGTTTGACGTCAATCACCTTAACCACTCGGCCACTGACGTCCATATATCTGGCTGTTATATATTATCTGATGTTAGACTGTTCTTCAAATTAATATATAATTCTTTATGATTCAGTGTACAGTATTAGGGATAACATTTGAAAATGTTGCCGAGGTCGAAAGCAGAAGACAACAATTTAATTTTCAAAATTATTTAATTACTAACAATTTTCCTCCGATTGACGGTAAAAAGAAAAAGGCATGACTTGTTGTGGATTTGGGTGATATTGAAAATTGGATAATCCGTAAGGCGAAAGGTGAACTATGATAAGTTAAGTGATTAAGTTTAAGTTTCATTGTACCTGAAACGTTTGACAACTACTCACAATTTAAGCCAAATACCACAGAACCACTTGCGTTTCACATTTCAATTTAAAAGATGACAATTTGATAATAGTGTTTTTTTTTTACGTTATTCATTTTCCCTTTGCTAATTCTTCGGTTGAATCTATTATAGCTTCGTCCTTTGTTCAGTCCTATTTTCCTACAGCTTCTCCTAACAGGTTATTTTATTGACCGATATAGTTCGTATTTTGTAGGCAGATCAAATAATAGTAAGGTTTGATGGCACGGAATTACAAAAAAATATATTCTTCAGTGAATCATTAAAGCTTAGTATGAATATGGAACATATTTGTAAAATATAAAACAAAATTTGTTTTATTACATCATCTGGATATGCTGAAATTGACATGTATTTTTACCGATGCTCAATTTTTTATGCATATGAGGTAAATACCCAGTAAATTCCAAATATCAATGGCCTACTGTACCTAAAATATACTTTACCACAATTTGAGAATTACTCGGTTGAATTAACATTCCTCCTGTGAAATCATAAAGTACATTGCAAAGCAAGCAAATATCCAACTTATTTCAGTAAATGGTGTAAATTGTGTAATTTTTTTTATAAAACATGATTGTTTTTGATAACACAGTGTTGTTTTTCGAGATTTTTCTCAACAGGAAATATTTCTGCCCAATAATTGAAATCATTTAACAGTACTCCACTTTTGTCATGTTATTCCACCATGCTTGTTGAACAAACTTTTTACAATTTAAGCAAATAACAGCCAGCGCTTTTTGGCTAACTGGGTTTATATGGTCACATGGTCACTGGGTCACATGGTTTATACCAGTCCAACTGTTATTTAGGCATAAGTAATTAACGGATCATAATTTTTAATCCTGGTGTGTTGCTGTGAATATTTATTGTAACGGATAAAAAATCAGAAGAGTATATTTTGTTATTTAAGATGCTTAAATAAAATGTATTTTAAGGGCTAACCCAAAACAAAGTTTGAAAAGTTAATGGAAATATTTAAGAGGCCAATTACAAAAGATAATGTGAAAGTGAAGACAAACAGAGTCTTGTAAGCCCCATGATCTTGTCATACCATGTTATGACATGGACTTTTCTTGAAAAGGAAATACTTTTTATGACGGGTACTCAGAGCTGTATTGAAATCTGTTCGCGTGTATTTGATGAGTATACCAGTATATGGAAAAGAATATAAATATAAATTATTTTACAACTGTTGATTTCTTATCTATACATATATATGTTTTTTTACACAATTGTTATATACATTATTCACTCACAACAGTTTTAAAAACTGGTATTGTGCAATTGTTGAAATTTTAGAATTGTAAATTTGTTTATTTTCCAAGACCATCAATGAACTTCAATGGTAATTACTTGGTATGTCGAGCCAAGTTGACAAAGCTTAATTAGAATTCTACATTTCCAGGGGATACACCTTTTAATATATCTTACGATAAGAAATTTAATTGAATCAGAAATGATCATCACAGATATTACTGACATATTATGTGTATGGAATAAGCAGATCTACGTTCATTCCCACAAAAAGAAATAAATTACATGTCACATGTCTTTGACTTTGTATTTGATATTTTGAAATAACATTTTCGGAAGAAAAAATAGCCACACTTTTTGTTTCATATATGTCACGTTTCAGAACTGAACACTATTTAAGGAAAATTGGTTGTAAGTGGCCGTATAGCTTAGTCGGTAAAATCTCAGTACAGTATTCCAAGGGTCCCGGGTTCGAGTCCCGGTCAGGCTACACATGTTTTCACCCTGTGACATTCAAAGTTCGCGATATCATTCCGTAAATATCGCTTTCCCTTGTCTGTCGCTGTACTAAAAACTTTTATGATTTGCGCGAACATCATCTTGTGATACAATCCCGGAGATTATCAACAATTATTTCACGTTTTAGAAGAGCCACCCTTAGTTACAATAGCTTCTGCATAAAGAGCAAATCAAGTTTTTTTTTCATATTCTGCCATTATTCTGATATTACTTCTTTGATTTGTGACAAATGCTGACTATTGAGTTTCCTTTCACAATGATAGACGTTTTTATAAATTTATAAGGTTCTTTTTAATAACACCATGTATTCATACTCCGTTTATCTATAGTACGTCAAGTCTAACACGTGAACTGTTAGCGTATTTACCACATGAGAGACTTTGTAAAAGTTATGATCAATATTTAAAGATGTTAAATTTGAGCATGATATTTCTTTAAGCTTCACGCAACTACACTTTACTTAAGTATAAAAACACGTCCTTGATAATAAGAAATAAACGATCATTTCAAACATGAATGAAAAAATGTTTTACGTAAACCACAACATTGTTACTTATATTTGATGTTCAGTTATAATATATTTATTGCCTTGATTCCATTTAATAATTATTTATTTAGTTTGTGCGTAGGAACATAAGTTTTCATTATATTTTGTTTTGTTTTATTTTTAAATTATTATTCACAAAATGGGAAATTTCAACTAACAATCACTTTGGTTTTCTAAATATTGACTAAACTCTAATCAATAGTCTGGTATAAACTGGATTTAATCGATATTAAAATGCATTATTTAAAATGCATATCTACCTGATCCAGTTATGTTGCGTAATAACGTAGATTTACCAAATAAAGGTTTTATCTTTGACGTATAAAATATAATTGTGATATTAGTGATTTTGACTGCTATTTTTTTCTGTTTGTTTGTTGTTATAACCAGTTGCATATTATATGCCTTGGTTTAATAAAAACTCTAACTGAAACTGAAACATACCCAGGCAACTGGTATCATAGGTTTACCAAATAAATGTTTTTTCTTTGACGTTTAAATCATTATTCGAAAACCGACGGTTTTTCCAACGGATTTTCCAATCGAAAGATTTTTATACTAGACAGTTTGCCACCCTCGCCAAATAGCGTCATTCCGTGGAGGAGAAAGAATAAATGAAATAAACCTACGACAATAACCGCTCAGTTAACTACAGAATATATCAAAGTAAGTATTTTCTTTTTTAATTTATAAAAAGATTTTTCCATTCATTATG